AGTGACCAAAATTGTTACTAAGAATCTATCAGAAGGTATTGAGGTGAAAGTTGGCAACTGTTTCAATTTAAAATGGTTGACTGGTAATAAATTTAAAATGATAATCAAGCCGCAACATCCAATAATTGATTAATTTTCTTAAATAGAAAAGTGGTCGAAATTTCAAAATTATATTTAAGAACAATTTAAATTTCACTGTCTAAATGCTTCTGCCACTTTAAATATTAAATAAAAGTCTCCCGGCAGAGTTGTTTTTAAATATCTAATTGATATCACAGTATTATATAGAACATTCCCCCCTACCCCGTCTTCTGCCCGAATCTTTGCTTATTCAGAGGTTGTATACCTAGCTTAAAATAAGCCTTAATGCAAAATTCAAACCTGACGTTTTTACGTATCATGAATTTTATTCTCGACTTGATGCCAATCACCCTTGTTTTTTTTTTATACTTAGATCACTTTCCGAAATCAAGAGAGAGCAATGGAAGTCTTATTTTTCAGTACTGCTATTACCGTCTAACATTTATCGTCAAAACATTTTAGTTTAAAATGTTAAATTTTAGTCTATCTTTAACTAAAATTTAAGTCCTTGAGAATTTTATAATAAGTCTTAAAAAGTCCTTGAAAAGTACTTGAATTTTATTTTTATAGTAGAACATGAACCCTGTATTTATAAGTGTGGAAAATAAATACTTTCATATATATTGCTCAATGAATAATAAAATAGTTAAAATAAGAACAGACAAAGTATTTAAATATGAAGGGAAAAAAGATATTTGGATATTATGAATATATTAATGACGATATAAAATTTAAAATCTTACACAATGTTAATAAAGATTTAAATTATTCAGAAATAAATGTCATAAATATAACTTCTTATAAATAACATTAAATATCTATCCAACATTCTGTATTATTATGTGTTATCTTTAGAATTCAGTTCTAGTTTTAAAAATTAAGAGGAATTCTTTCTATTTCTCTGTTTTTATTTAACTTTATAAAATAATTTTTTTTATCGCTGTTAGTTATTTTTTTATTTATCTTAAATATTTCTTATGGATAACTGTTATAGGTTTTTCCTTTTATCCCATACCAGTAATATAGCTAAGTTTTGATTAATTTTCAATGATTAAAAAAAAAATAGTTTGCTATATGGTCAGTTTGTTTGGTTGGTCAATTCATTATTCAGCAAAATCACTATTCGTTACATCACTTTTTTACCTACTTCAAAGCACATTTTTTTTGCTCCTAAATGGTTAGTCTGCTGTATGTAATTCTTTAATAACCAATTTAATAATTTTAATAGTAATTAGTTGTGACAAATAAACCAAAAGATTCTCAAATGAATTGTCAAAATTTAAAAAGCAATATACATTTCTAGTAACTTTATTTTAGCTTTATTAGTAACACTAAGCAACAGAAATATGCACAAATATTTAATAGACTTTGTGCTTACATATAAAATTTGTTTTTAATATGAGACAATATATAAAATTTGTTTTTAATATGAGACAATACTAGGCACAGGGAACCAAAGTGACATTTTGCACATTTAAATTAAATTGTATAATATTTATGGCATGATAAATGTGAAAGTGAAAGAATTTAAAAAAGGAACTAAATGTTTTAAAGAAAAATAAATAGAAAAAAAAGTGAAGGACACAATTATCAAACTTTCTGATGAATAACCTATATATCATAAAATATTGAATAAAGCCCTGGTTCCTAAATTCTGACAGAAAATGTGCATATTTGTGAGAGGACAGATAAATGGTACCTATTTGTAAAATACCAATTACATAAAATAACAAAATAAATTTATTTGATATTATATATGTCAAAATACTAATGATTGTATTTATAGTAAGTATAAACAATGTATGATACCAAATAATTTAATTAAATTTATTTTAGAAGTATAATTGTAATTGTTATCTTTGTTTCATAAAAAATGTCTACATGATCCCAACATGTGTAATCAATGAACTATAAACAAATAGAATCGAACCATCAAAAGAAAAATAGGAATCATAATCAAAAATGTCCAAATACTCTTTGAGATGTTGGCTTCTTGGTTTGCATTGTTTACGTCCTCTACCGGGAATGAAACAAACCATCTTGCTTTCCCAAAAACAAAAACAACACTATTCACCAGCTGTCTTTACTTCCCCTTCTCACCATGTCTCTCCTTTTCACTTTGTCTTTACTTTTCATTGGGGAAATAACGTTTCAACTTTAAAGTGACAAAGTTGTGAGAAAAAATACCTTAGGAAAAAGTGTAGTGGAAGGAGGCATTTATATAGTATTAATTGATTATCGCAATTTGTCAGAAATTGCAGGGGGTACTTCTTTGATCTAATATGGTATGGTCAATCCAAATGGGTTTTTACTCATATAAAATTTCTTCATGAATAGTGTTTAATTTGCAGTAATTTTCAGGTTTGTCTGTTGTATGATAGATAGCTGTAAAAAAGTAGTAAACACTTTGTTATTCTAATGACTTTATTTAAAATTGCTTTTCACCATGATGAAGAAAGACTTGGTAAAGAAAATAACTTTTTAATGTTTAGATATCACAAATCAATTTGAATTTTGCGCATTGTATGTTTTAATCTAATAAAATATCTGTTATTACATTAAATTGATTCATATATTTTTACTCAATAGGACTAAAGCCAACTATAATAAAATGCCTAGAAACATATAGAGATGATGAAATGGTAGAAAGGAAAGAAAAGCGTAGAAAACTTCATAATAAAAATAGTGATAAAAGCAGTGATGTTATTGTTCTTAGTGATACCGAAACCTTAGATGGAATGGGTAGTACTGATGGCAGAACTTCATCTATGGAAGTAAATATTTTAAGATCTTTGTATTTGATTGCTAATATTTGTTACATTTTAATAAATTATTGCCAGTACTGTGAATCTTTTTAAAATTAATTATGAATTGTTTTATAAATTCAGTATGAAATTGCCAATTAGATTTCTTTTTTTTTGTCAACATTTCTTCCGTGCTTTAGTGAATTAATTAATCGACACTAGAGTTTTAATGTAGATATACTTATAAATTATTATTATTATTATTTTTTTTTTTGCTTTCAATTCTAAATCTTTGACTTAGTTTTAGCCCTAAATTTATACACATTGTGGTATGAAAAGCATTAAAATTAAAAAGCAATTCTTTATCCAAACAGTCATAACGTTTTTTTTTACATGTAAATTTTAAAAGTTGAGTGTTATTATATAAACTACACCTATTTTATGTTTTTTTAATGTAGATCTTGGAATGAAAAATGTTCTGCATAGTTTATGTAATTTTAGATTTATACCATTTTTTAAGTATTGTTACAAATTTTCAGGTTGCTGAACCTGCTAGTCAATTTGAAAGCAATATTTCTGCAGCTCGCAATATTCCTCCAGTCAATTTATCTCAAGATATGCCAGCTCAAGGTACTTAAATAGAATTCAATTTTGAAATATTTGATTTTAACTAAAAAAGAAAATTTTGCTTTAATGAAAACAGTTATGATTTTTTTTAATGATACTTCTTACATTTTACAATTGGTTGAATTTTATAAATATAATTATAATTGAAATATTAAGTTAAGTCACAACTGCACATTTGAAACTAAATTAGAAATAGTATTGTGATGCATAACTGCATTAAAAATAGTTATGTAGTAATGCATAATAAATACAATGCAAAAAATTATTCAAAATGGAAATGTATCATTAATCACATATGAAAAACAGCTTAAAATAAACAAATATCTCAAAATTAATTTCAGATCTTTTTAATTAAACTATTAAAATGATTAAGTAAAATGTGATGCCTTATACCTCAATAATAGGTTTACAAAAATCTATAAAAAGAAACTAAATATTCTCACATTTCAATGCTTTATAAATTTTCTAAATCAATATTCTTTCTCTTAAAAATATTATTTAATTTAAATCAATGATTTTTTTAGAAAAAAAAATCTGTTTATTTAAATCAATAAATGTTGAAGAAAAAATATTTTTTCTTTTTTATATTGTGTGCATGCATTAATTTATATCAGGACTCAAAAGTAAAGGTGGTTTAATAGTTAAAGACCACCTTAAAATAATTATCAATGCTTCCCTAGACAATTGATGTAAATAAATGGTAAGCTATTTTTATTTTAAATTTCATGTTACAATTATTTTTACAGTTTCTAATTTTGTCACTAAATAGCATTTTATTATAATTGTGACGTTAAATATTTTCTTTATGGTAATTTTTTTATTTAAATCCACTTAACTTTTTTTAAAAAAAGAAGTCAATAGACTTTTGAATGGGCCAGTGAACTTACATACAACTATTGATTTTTTTTAATTACTGGTTCTTCAGACCTGTAAATTTAATTTTTTTCCCTTCCTATTTCAATTGTCCATTGTTTGCTTTTGATTTTTGGAAAATAACAACAGTTGTGTTTTTTTACTGCTTAAAATTTTCTGGTATTTTCTTTTTATAATTGTTCTATTTTTTCGTATATTTATCGCTCAAGGAATTTTGAATTGAAATTTTTAATTTTCTATTCATTAGCCTTATAGCTTTAGGTAAACAAACCCTGGAACCCTACCATGAGCTCCATGGAATGAAATTCCATCTGGGAATGACGTTACGTTCCAACGGGAATTATTTTTCCCCACCACAAACTAATTGGAAAGAGTTTCTTGGCTGGAATTGGAACCGGTTTCATTCCAGCCAGTCTCCGGCACCTGGAATCGTCGTTCCAAGGAGGGAATGATGAATTTTTAAGGACTAAATACGATATTTCGTCGATGAATGTCTTAATTTTTTTCTATTTCATAAGAGAAGATAACAAAATTTCTAAAAGATAAACGTGCCCGAGCCATTTTCAAGACGATAATTAAAAGAGAAATGTTTTGTTTCATTAGTATGTGTGAACGAAAAGATACTTTCAGAGTTAACTAAGAAATTACGGCAAACTAAAAATAATTATGCTTTCATATGATAATTGTTACTATTTCTATGTTATTATTACGGGATATATTACTTGGCCAATACCTTTTTTCGAAGTTCCAATCATTTCTTTTTTTAATTTTCTTTCGTTGAACTTTTAGTTCAACAATATTTAACTTCCTTTCGAACGATACTTCTTTATATTATACACCAATGACAGCACATTTAAAAGAATTTGTTTCAGGCATGATGTATTATAAAGTAAACAATTTATTTATAATAAGAAATACAAAAAAGAATAAAAACGTTTCCGAAAATATTTATGAAATTTGTATTTATTTCTTCTTTTACTCATTTTAAAAATTTTTATTCTCATTCTTCCATTAAAATATACTATAAAAGCTGCTATACTATAAAAGCTGCGGAAGTAGTTCCCTGAACTATAATTTTTAAGTATTTCATACGCAAAATGATTTTACAAATCACGAAAAAAATTTTATGCAGTTCTATAAATTAATTTCTTGGGAACATATTTATTTAACTATCAGTAAAAACAGTCAATTTTATAATGTAACAAATAAACCAAAGTAGTAAGCGAAGCAGTAACTTCAGTCATTCATACTGTTACAAATTTAATTGAAAACTAATGAACTTTTCGGAAATTAAATTAATTTCAAAGAGATCAAGGTAAACGTTAATTTTTTTATCTGATAAAATTTTAATTCTTTCTGGCAATTAGTTTTGATAAAAACTAGTATCATTAGTAATCTATCTACATGCAGTTCTCAGGCACGAAATTTTAAATCTTAATTCATTAAAATATGATCATTATTTTAAGAGTTGTACTTTTTAAAAAATATTTAAAATAAATAATGAAACGTTTTAACGGATATATCAGAAATATTTATTATGAAAAAATTATTTTATTTTATGAATTATGCATGATAAATATGACAGTTTTTAATTAATAAAACTATATGTATAATAAATTAAAGAATATTTCAAAGTATTCGCAGTTCATGTTTTTTTAGTCTAATGAAAACAAAAAACATTATAAAAAGAAAACAATAAGTAGTCAAAAATATTATCTAAATAGCAGAAGCTCGTTTCGTTTTACTCATGCTAATG